GGAACTAAGAGAGTGTATAGTTTTGTGTGTATTCAAACGCGTTTGAACATGAAGCTAGTAGACAAGAATGAAATTCATTTCGATAATATGGGGTAACAGGACTCAGACAGTATTTTATGGGCCAGTTTGTCACAAATTTTGATGAATTGTTAGACAGTCTGAGCTCAAGGTAACTAATTACACGTGGGTGAATGTATGAGTGGTCCGGATTTCATATATATATATATATATATATATATATATATATATCGTTTTGCAATGAACCAGGAAAAATCACTGGGGAGACAGGGTCGATGTGATAGAATGGAGACATGCACAAGCGTTTTTATCAGAAGGGGATTGGATAAGGGCAAAAAATGAAAGCAAAATCATTGTTCATGTGTTCAGACCGAGTGGGGGAATAACAACCAAGTAATACACTCATATCCTTGGATTAAAAGGTAAATAGCGGCTGTCAAATCCGCAGATAGTCGGAGTATGATTTGCCCCCTTTTTATTACACATCTGAGTGTGATGAATGCCAGACGGGGAGAACTCCATAGTCACGATGGGAACCGGGACTTGGAGTGGAGAACCACCTAAGGTTGGTCGTGTTATTAAACCAAGCGGAGAGAAAAGGAAACGTCAACACATTTAGATGGTTCATGGAAATGTTGTGTGCAGTAGCCCACTCGTTAAGTTGTGTCATGCCACCAAGCTGGATAGCAGAGAGAACAGAGTTTTTCGGGGATAAGATAAACCAAAGGTAACGCCATTAACCTATTTGATCAGTATGGAGTCATTGCAAACAGGCGTAGAAGCAATGTAAGTGGTAAAGAAGAAAGGATACAAAATGGCTCCCTGAGGAAACCCTTATTGGGAATTTAAATTTAAGGGGGCTTTGCTACAGTTTATACTGTTTTCCAGAGGAAAATGGTCACTTAGGAAGGTTGTCGTAGGCGAAGGGACTCCACAGGTTGTGCGAATACAAAGAAGATTATCTTTATGAACAATTATAAATGTGCTGTTGCAGTCTTAAAAAGCAACTCCTACAACTTTACATTTATTATCGTTTGATGATAATAAAATGCACCAGGGAAACTAGGTAATTTAGGGTAGATCGCTTACGACAATAAACATTTGATTACAAGCAGATATGTTCAACCTTGTCGCAAACTGAAATACCGTTAGGGCGGTCAAAGTGCAGGCTAGGCGGTGAAATTTTGTACAACCTTTCTTGATCATTAGTACGAAGCTGGTTGTTCTCCAACCATCCGTTAGTGAATATTAGGAAATGGTTGAAGATATTGGACAGGTTACTGGCACATTCTGATAACCCAATTAGTTGTAATTCATCTGAATCGCCAGTTTTATGGAGGTCTAATGATTTTAGCTGTTCATACATTTTTTGCCGGATCAGTCACCCCCGGATTTTATATATATATATATATA